TGCAGCATGTCGCAAGGGACTGGGGGGTGCTTCGGCTGCTAGATGCTAATGGTAATTTCCTGGGTAGTTCAGCTCTTGTGATCCAAGGAGTGGATGATCCTGATATTCTTGAAACGATAGCATGCAGGGAGGCAGTGGCTTTGGCGCAAGATCTTAACGCTCTCAACTTTGTCGTGGCTTCCGACTCGAAGGGCGTTGTTGGGGCTATCAACAACAGCAGCAGAGGAGCTAATGGCGCCATCGTCATGGAGATCAACAGTATAGCTAGTACCCTAAACTGTAAATTTACTTTTGAAGATCGTGTAGCCAATGTCGATGCACATAGATTAGCCAAGTTTGCTTTCTCTTTAGGTCCTGGTCGGCACATTTGGTTGAGCCAACCCCACGACCAGAGATGTATCCCACAAACTGTGGATTTTGCTGAATAAAAACTTAGTTTTCCCCTTAAAAAAAGCTATCTCTGTCAAAAATTTCTAAAACAAATAACCCCTGTCAAATAAAATGTTTTCTTAAGAAAAAACAAATAGCAGCAAGTACCCTTGCTCTCTCCGGCTTCAGGTTACGCGCTCCTGACCGTTGGTCTTTGTTTGTTCTGCATCAACGGACGTTGTTCCATTTATTTAGAGCTTACAAAAAATTGGGAGCAGCAACAATCATCCGCTCCTCCCTTCTGAGTTTCCGGTCTCTTGTACTCCCTCCGTTTCAAAATAAGTTCTCAACTTTATACTTCCTCCGTCCCACAATGTAAGACGGTTTTTGACACTACACTAATATCAAAAAATATCCTACATTATGGAACAGAGGGAGTACTAATTTTAACACAAAGTTATACTAGAGTTGACATACTTATTTTGAAGTTATACTAGAGTTGAGATACTTATTTTGGTCGGAGAGAGTCTAAGATAGTCCATGACCCCCCAAAAAAAAGATAATCCATGCTGTTTTGTTTCTTTTTTCTTTTCCAAAAAGGAGGTTGGAACCCCGCCTCTGCACCAATTAATGCACACGTCATTTTATAAAAATACCATAGCCAATTTTGTCTGAGCCAGCAGTGAAGCAAGCAAAAAAAAAAAAAGCTAAGCGAGTGAGTGGGGAGGCTGTTGAGCTGAGAAGCAAGAGCTTCATGTGCCGACCATGGTTTCATGGTTTCAACGTGAAATAAGAGCTCCCAAGTGGCTCACATAATCAATAACGACTCACATCAAGGCCGAACACATGTAAGGAATCCACAACCATGCACCTAATTACTCCACTCTTCTCTCAGAAGCCCAGCTTGATATACGAATGAAAAGAAGACATCGTCAAAACATAATAAAACCCAAGCTAGCATAGATAAACCAAAATGTAACAACCAACAAAATAACCTGCTAGAGAAAAAAGAGTTGATCCCATGAATGAGGAACGGCGTGACAAAGCACGAGTTAGCCTCTAGTATAAATTATGTGAGCTGGATTACTGGAAGGAACCTTCATCAAACCGTTTCAGTTAGTAGTAGTTTATACTGAAAGATAGAGCATGAGCAGAGCCACCTTAGCCTGAATCACTGTGTTAACTGAACTGACCAACCTGACTTGGAAAGTCAGAATTGGCAAAGACAAGCTAAAGAACAATGAGGTGGGGCAGAGGCCAGAGAAAGGCTAATAAAACAATGCTACTCGTACCATTTTCCATTTTAACGAGGTAACACAATATCAAAATTCATAAGATGCCTTCTTATGGAGTATTGTCTCATGGTTTCCCGCTCTAGGACCAAGCTATTTAGTTATCTAAAATGCAAAGACTAAAAAGTTCAGACTTCTGAACTCCTGACATCCATTCAAGTAACCAAAACAAAATGCAAACAGGGGAGTGGCCAAATAATTCCGAAAGGAAGTGGCCCACAAGTACAACATGTTTTCAAGACTTCCAACAGTGTATGGTAGTTCGAATTGCTGCAATCTGAACAGATGCAGTTTGGATTGACAAACCATTTTACATCAATTATTGTCACAACTCATATGGAACGATCTCATCAAAAGACCGGACTGATTGCCAGGAAGATGCACCCACCTAGCCATCTCTCTAGATAATAACAGAAGGCAACCGAACAACGAATTCACCATGAACTTCAACAATTGCGCCACACAAGCACATGTGAGCCAATTAGTAGAGTTCCTCCTCTTGGTGGGTTTGAATGACGCAATCCGCCTTGGGGTATGAAATGCAGGTCAGAAGGTATCCCTCACCCATCTGGCTCTCATCGAGGAAGGAGCCCTCCGACTGATCGACCTCCCCGGTCGTCATCTTGCCCGCGCATGTGGAGCACGATCCGGCGCGGCAAGAGAATGGCAGCTCCACTCCGGCAGTTTCAGCTGCCTCGAGAATGTAGGTGTCTTCAGGGGCCTCAAACTCGTGCTCTTCTCCGTCCGGGCCTATGAGCTTCACCTTGTGCACGGCCGTGGCAGACACCCTGAACTTGTTTGACATCCTTAGGCCTGACAAGTTTGGTGTTTGCTTGGTGTAACCAACGAAGGAAGCGCTCCTGATCGCCGGAGCAACGGCCCGGGAACCAGCCCCGGATTTAGCAAAGGACACTCCTGGAGCAGTGGCAGTTGACATTTTGCTGATGCTGAAGAAAGAACAAAATTATGTGTCAAAATACAGTACAACAGCAAAATTAAAAGTATCACAACTTTTTAAACTTGTAATCATATATTATGGTCACCAAAATTCCTAGCTGCAAAACTTTTAGCTCGTAATCATGCGTATGATCAACAATAGTCCTATCTGCAAAGCTTAAGAGTGATCCATTTCCCGTATGGAACACCCACAGGCAGTACAGATGTGATTGTCTGGTACTCTGGTAGACCAACACCAACACCAAATCACTGTCCCAATTGAAACCAGTTCAAATTAGAAGCCCCTAACAACTTAGCAGGTGGATTTCTTGTACAAAAGCCAGTTCTGTCCCCACTCCCCACAGTCCACCATGATATGGACAGTGGTATAGCGCCACGGGCCAAAAACCTATCGACCGGGCACAGATCCGGCGAGCGCATGGACTCGCCGGTCGCCGGCTCGCCGCGACATGACAGGATGACACTGGAGCCGGGCGCATCACAACCAAGGCGGCGATATACGGCTACAAACAACGGGGCAGCCGACCGGGGGGCGCGGCGTGCGATCGACCAATAATCAGGGAAGCGAAGAGGGTGGCGGATCGACGGGCGGGGCGCGTACCTCCTCCGACGAAACAGACGGGGGAGAAGGCGGCGCTGATCTCGCAGGCGAGGAGAGGCGGCGGCGGCCGGTTGGACTTTGGGATCGCGGGTTGGTGCGGTGTGTGCGGGGGTGGTGAGGTGGCCAGCACGCGCACGGCGCCTTATTAATAGGGGAGGGGAGGCAGACTCTCTGCTGCAGTGCTCGGCTCTGCCAGTCTGCCCGCTGGCCCTGGCTGCCGGGGCACGCGCCTCTTCCGCCCTCGCGCTGGGTGGGCCGTGGGTCGCCTCGCCCCGGCTGGCGGCTTGGGCGAAAGGCCGCGGCTGACCGGTGTGGAGTGCCAAAGCATCGCGCCAGGGCGACCCAGGCCAAATTTTCCTCTGCTTCTTATTTCGAGAGGGATCATCGCTGGAGTAGTTTAGTTCACGGCTCTGATTAGATCAGGCGCGCCGCTTGCAGGGCTCAGGGGCCGGATCGGGCAAGCGGGTAGGTGGGCAGGGCACGAGCACGCAGCCCCTACTGACACCGCGGACCCACCAGCCGCTTCCAGTAAAAAAGGAGAAGCAAAGGCGCATCCAGCAGACAAACTCAAAGCGGACTAGCGGTCTAGCGCAGTGCCGCCGCACATCAGGCTTGTGTTCGGTGCATGCAGCATCTGATCCGGGTCAAATCACGCAAACCAGGAATAATAACATAGCACAACAGAGATTGGGCACCATGAGCAAAGCAGATTTATTTTATTCAATCACCAGGTAGAGACAGGCAGCTTACAACTCAGCATATGGTACAATGAATCAGCTCGGTTCAAGTGGACTTTTCATTTCGCGAGAAATATATTAACATTGAGGTTGCCACAATCAATCAAAATCTGCAGTAACTATTCATCTCACCGATCTGGCAATCGTTGATTAGCACAATGGCATCAGCATGGTACAGTGGTTTTGGACCCAGAAAATGACAATTAGCGGGAGTATCACAGCCTCCTCCGGTGCTGGGTCGCGCCACCGAGGAGCCAACCACAGTTATCAACTGCGCAAAAACGTAGGCAAACCTCTGTCTGCATCGTCTGGCGATCAGAAGCCCATGGATCCTTCTTCATAGGGAACCATCCATCAGACAGACTGCTTTGTGCGATGCAACGCAGCGGCTGATACATACATACATGAGGGTACTCCGAGCGCAGTGATTGTTACATACACAGGGACCAAAATTAGATACATGTCGCAGCATTCACCTCACTTGACATGCAAAACCAGCAAGCCTGCAACATGGACGAAATCATATCAGCTGAAGAAGTTTAGAGAGACACGACAATACTAGCTTGGTTTGATGCAGTCTGCCCGTTAGGTTATGTAAATATATATAAGATATGAGAACAGTGGTAACAGCTAACAACAATGTATGTTGCCTACCAAAGAACGTTAAATTGATAAACTTGACCGGTCAACAGTCTGTGAGCAACAACATGCGTCGCCTAAAAAAGAACGTTGCCATCATCATGGATGCTTTGGTCCAATCTTTTCTATTGTCTTGATTCACATAGAGCGAGAGGGCACGTCTGTGAGCTTGCCCACCCAAGCCAAGCAAGCCACGCCTCAACCAATACGAAAAGGGCTGGCATCGGTGATCCACTTGACGGCCTGGGTGATCTGGAAGGAACGGAACGCCTGCGTGTTTGACGGCGCGCAACCCTCCGCCACCCAGCTCATGGCAAGAATCAAAGATGAGGCGGCGCTCTGGGTCAGGGCAGGCGCCACCGGCCTGGGACTGATCCTCCAAAGGACATGGGACGTCCACTAATTCATTGCACCATTTCCCTGTAATTGTCCTGCTCGGAGAACTGAACTGCTAAACTCTCTTTCTGTTCAATGAATGAAACGCAAAGTCTTTGCGTTTTCTCAAAAAAAAAAAAAAACTTGCCCACCCACGTTTGAGGTGCAGCCTTCACAGGGTGCTTTGCTTCTATTAAAAAACACCCTGGGTGCTAATGCCTATTGGTCGAGTTTTTTTAGTTTGTATAATGCAGCTTATCTTCTGTGTTGTCTTAATTGACATAATGCAATGGTAAATAAAAAGGAGAGTGAATGTTAAGGATATTAAACTATTAAAGAGTATACAACCTTGGTGCTTTCACAGGTGTTTTTTAACACTAGTCAAGTACTCCCTCTGTTCCTAAATATAGGTCTTTTTAGATATTCCAATATGGGCTACATACGGAGCAAAATGAGTGAATCTACACTCTAAACTAGGTCCATATACATTTGTATGTGATCCATATTGAAATCTCTAAAAAGACTCATATTTAGGAACGGAGGTATTATTTGTGATGGAACATAATGGATGCCAACAGAAGAAGAATACACAAACTAAAAAACTGTTTCATTCCTACACAAGTCTTTGATGTGACAGCTGCAAATATAGTATGCTTACATGAATCAAATATCTGCTTGTTCCTAAGGGATATGGTCGATTGATCTGAAGTTCTGAACGTGTAAAAAGATATATGAAACATAGCAGCATGCACAGAAATACTCACCAAGGACAGCAAGTGCAACTAGTAGTGATGTTGCTACAAAAAGTTGAGGGTGATTGTAGCGTGTAGAATATTCAGATCTACTTAATGTTCTCTTGATAAGTTCAGGCCAGCAATACGTAGTCTGCAAGGAGTAACAATAGAAGGTCATTACTGGGGAATTTAATCTGCAAGATCATATTCAAAGAACTAAGAACCTGAAACAATGCCTGGATTGTAATATGCAAACAAACAGAGAATATAGTAGATCATAGCATACCCTTCCTGATGTACGTAGGTTGAAGGGAGGTAATATATTTCCATTTCTCAAGCCATCAACAACTTCTCCATCTTTCCTCCTCTTTGTAAAGCTCTGATGGTCTCTATTCGTAAACCATAAGTTTCTCATAAAACTGCGGTACTGACTGCTCAGTTTGTTCTTGTAATGATGGCTTGTACCTAACGAATCATCAGCATCCAAACTACACAAAGTGCTACCGTAATGATCTCCTTCGGATGCACTTTCTCCACGTGAACATTGCAATTTTGATGCCCCTTCCACATCATTTCCTGAATATCTGAGTTCACGTGTTGTATGTTCTTGGGCAGAATGATAACCATTTACCATAGGTGCACTGTCGAGCTTAAGTTCAGTAATTTCATTTGTATCAGTGGAGTAGTATGCATGACTATGACTGTTGCCACCAGAAAGGAAAGATGCCAGCCCATCTCCATCCTGTTCACTTGAGGAGTATGGAGATTTCGGAGTTCTACTGAAATCTGTCCTAAGAGTCTTCAAGCTTTCTTCCACCTCAGAAATTTGCTCAGCTATAGCTCTAATGAATTGCCTGAACTTTAAGATTGCATTTTCCCTTGAAGTTGACTTATCAGAGAATGCAGCTGCATTCACCTCCCTCTCAAATTGCTCTAACTGCCAGAGTTAGGAAAATAAAAGTCTTACAAGAAATCCAGAAAGAAGCAGATAACTCAGAAACATGGATAAATGGACTAGCATGGTCAATGGAAAGCTTGATTGTTTGAACCTGCCACTTGGTAGTTCCGAGAGCAGTAGCCACATCTCTCTCATACTGTATCGGTGCATGAAGTTTTGCATCTGAAGTGTCATCTTGTATAACTTTCTTTTCATGCAAAAGCAAGCGGTAGACACCGTCCATCCTGTACAGCAACCCACCCAAAATTAAATCCAACGAGTACAGTCAGCAAACTGCACAACACACGCTCCATCCTAATTAAAAAATATAAGTACACTGGAGGAACTCTTAACGCTGTACGTGCTTGCATACTACATAACTTCTAGGAAACTGGGGGAACTCTTAATACTGTACGTGCTTGCATACTAGTACATAATTCTGAGGCAGCATTAAAAAAAATATAAGTACATCTTTATAAGAAAACATAATATTCTCAGGTATGATGACTGGGTCAAGGCTTGGTGTTTTTCTGTGCTTATACTTACTGCTATAACCTTTTCTCACAAGAGATTTCTAATTGTAGGATTGCCGGCTGCTCCCATGCTAAGTGGAACAGACCATCCATGCTAATTGTAGGATTGCCAGCTGCTCTCATGCTAACTGGAACAGACCATCCATGGAAATTCAGAGATTGTATTTGAAGAGTCCGTACTTAAAATATCATGTTAGTTGGGAGAATAACAAGAAAAATGTAACTACGTACTAGTTTATTATTAATCCCTTTAGATCGGTGCGATATACAGTAATTGCAGGGTACAAGAAGCATATGAATTATGGAGAAAGAAGTACTTCCTCTGTACAGGAATATAAGACCTTACAAAGGGAGTACTTATCAAGACAAATCCTAAAGATACTAGAGAACATTACTGAACCTCTGTAAACGTGGAGATACATGCTGATGGCTAGTTCGTACCACATTAGCAAAGTAGCAAAGCTGTTTCGCTTTCTGTTATAATAAGGTAAGCTATATATACTATCGAACAGAAGGCGCACCCCAAAGCCTAATTTGACAGCAATAAACTTCTGCAGGCGCATCTAACTCAATAGATAAGCTACAGCCTACAGAAACCTGCCAGTAATTTCCTCATCGAAGGCAGCCATGACACTTTGGGAATTCACCAAAAACATGGACCTAGCCTATTGGTCGCAAATGCCAATCCAGGCAGAAACAATCACGCCGAGAGGTTCCCAAGCTCGGGAACTGGCGCCACGAGCTCTGAACACGCACCGAATTCTCCGCAATGCGGCGGCGAATCCCGCGAGACAAGCAACCGAAGCTCCTACGCGCGGAATTTCCACCAGCGGGCAGCAGATCACGAAAGGAGACGAGGAGAAGGAGCCGAACCTGTCGGCGGAGTCCTGCACGCACTCGGCCGCGGGGAAGAGCGGATCCGACTCCCAGCGCCCGAAGCCCTCCGCCATGGGGCGAGCGGGATCCGGCCGGCCCCGAGCGGATTCGAATCCGCTGGAGCGGGGAAGGGGACGAGGAGGGGGACGACGACGCGGGCGCTGGAGCGCGAGGGGAGGGAGAGATTCTCTTCTCCGGTTGGTGGATTTCTGGCTCTGGACTGGTTTTCTGTTGCGTTCCTCCTGCTCCCCCCTTCCCCTTTTCCTCTTTCGTGGGCAATTTTGACTATTTTAACCTGTGGACGAAATCAATTCACAAAATGAACTGCCCGTGAAACTATTTTACAGCATTGACCCTTCTGTGTAGCGCCCGCCACGCAGACGCCACACCCTATGGTGCAGCGCCCAGCTCGGGGGCGTTGCACGCCAGTCCACCGTGGCAGCCCCTGGGCCCGCACCCAGCAGTGCAGCGCCTCATAGCTAGGCGCTGCACCGTAATGTGCAGCGCCCGGCCCGCAGGCGCTGC